TCAGAAGTATTGAGCATTTCATTTGCTCAGTGCTATTCCAAGCATTCTGTGTGTAGCTCTGCAGGGGCACACATGGGGGATCCTGAATGCTCCATAGAGATAATCAAGGAGGAGGAACAGGACAAATAATTGCTGAGTTTTGTCTGCAAAGAACTTATACTGTAGTGGGGGAAACCCAGGACAAAGAGAGCAAAACAAATATTTTTATGGAGACATGAATTAAATACCAAGGGTGTGCAAAGGAAAAGACAGTCAGCTTCTCTGAGGGGAGCAGAGACAACCTGTCCTCTGGTGTATGCAGCAATCAGAGTTACCTCTTTACAAACCAAGTCAGATGACATTACATTCTGGACCTTTCCAGGCTTTCCACCGCATTCGGAAATGAAAGCCAGGCCCTTCAGGACTCCATACAATATGGTGTTTCATGACCTCTCATTGCTCATGTGAACCCTCACATTTTCTTTTCTGCTGACATTGATCTTGATGTCTTGTGAACCTGTTAGTCCCTGATTTGGGATTTTTACACTGGTGTTTCCTCTTTAGACCGCTTTTTGGGCTTCTCCATGGCTTGTTCCTTTACATCACTCAACTGTACAAAAGTCCTCCCATGCACCATGACTTGTTCACTTGCAATCCCTCTACTCTGCTGTATGTACCCCATAGTGTTCATTACTATCTAAAACTTCCTTATTATTGTCCTATTGAATGTGAGCTCATGAGAGCTTGGAGAGTGTCAGTTTTGTTTATGGCTGCATCCTCAGTGCCAAGAACACAGCCTAACACATAACAAACGTAAGCATAAACATTGGCAAAATAAATGTATGAGTTAATTTTGATAACCTATTATAAATAATATTTTTTAAAAACTAACAGCAGGAGACATTAACACCTGATGTACTTTGTAGTTTCTAGACACGAGTCCAATCCTTTTGAAAATGAACCCAAACAGTTTCTCATTTGAAATCCTGTGCTATTTCCTACTTTCTATGATTTCTCAAAGGATTTTAACCATGGCTCTGAGATTTGCAAGTCTTTCCAGTGTCTAGGAGATTTTCTAGCTAGGCTGAGGTAGCAACAAATTGCACGCGTGAAGGATTCTCATCTAGAATGAGGTTACATTTTCAAGTCAGCATGCAAAGGGAAAATTGACATATCACCAGAATTTCCCTGAATGTCCTAGCATCAAAACAGATAACGGATTCTGTAGTTGCGCACCCAGGGAATTGGTTTGTTTGCATTGGGTGCCCTGTGTTGTGAAAAACAGGGCTCTCCGAATACCAGAATCACTCTCAGCCTAGCTGGGTGCTTTTCTTATTGGAGATCCTTGGGAACTAAGGCTGAAGGGACAGCATTGTGTATCCTCTACTATAGCCATGTAGTTCTGGGCTGGAGCTAAACTGACTGATTTGGAATCCTGCCTCTAACACTTACTGCCCCCATGAGTACAGACTGTTACTCAACTTCTCTGTGTGTCAGTTTCTTTATCTGTGAAGTGGGATAATAATAGTACCTGCCTCAACTGGTTACATTAAATCTAAACTCATTAACCTATATGAGTTCCTTAGACAAGCACCTGTGCGTGCTGAGCATGCCCATCCATATTTGCAAATCATTTTATTATCTCTCATCTCCTGTTCATGCTGAGACGTAGGCTGGGTGGGTGGAGAGGCGGGCAGAATGTGCTAGACTATTTCAGTTGCAATTGCTTGTTCTCTCACCTTCTTTTTCTGTTTCTCTTTCCTCAGATGCCAACGGTAGCGTTTGTCAGATGTGACCTCGCTCCAGTGCTCCATCTCTGCTGGAACTCTGGGTTCCCTCTATCAATTACCATACAAGCCCTACTTTTATGCTTTTCTAGAGATAGGTAGAAGTGAAACAACCAAACAAGCTCTCTCTCTCTCTCTCTCTCTCTCTCTCTCTCTCTCTCTCTCTCTCTCTCTCTCTCTCTCTCTCTGACTCACTTGGGATAGTTCGACCTATTCATCCATCCCTCTCACATTCCATTGCCTCCACTAACCATGAGTTTGGCCTCCTCTTGATGACTCCCTCCAAACAAAGCCATTGAGTCCTTTCAGTTGCTTCGAGCTTTTTCTGGAATCCTGCCTTTTATTCTCTGGCTTCAGCTTTTTTGATTTTTTTTTTTCAGATTCATGTTCTTCCCTTTTAGCACCGAGAAAGTTAAAAAGTCAGAAAGAAAGGCTACACAGCAGAAAATTCATGAAAAATGGCCAGCCAGGATTTCTTTCTTTTTTTTAATGTGAAGAGCAGAAGAGAGCAAGGCCTGAAGAGTTGGCATGAGGAGAAAGGAACACTCACTGTTATATACGGCAAAAGCTGCGGTCCTAACAGAGGTGATGAATTCCTGCAGGCCAGAGCTGCTGGAGGACAGGGCTCTCAGGGGCAGCCAGCCTGGCAGACAGGCTAACTGCCAGAGAGTAGGAGCCAAGCTTTGAGCACATCTGGAAAGTTCAGTAGTTACAGATATTCACTTCTTAGCCCTAGCATGGAACATCTTGTTCCTGGATTGTTATTAAGATTAGAGAAGAAAATGTTATCTAAGGACACACTAAATGCCAGATGTTATTATTATCATCCTTTGGGCCTATAGTTGACTCACTCATTTGTACATTTAACATAGATTTTCTGGGTGTTATAGTCTAGGCATAATGCAAAACACAGTATAAAAATATGAAGTGGGTCAAGTCTCTTTCATTAAATAGTCATATCTGAGGAGAAAGAAAGGCACAGAGGTAGGATATACAGCAGGCTGTGTGCATGTCTTAGACTGAGTATACAGTGGGTCCTATGAATCACAAGAAAAGGAGAGAGATGCTTGCTGAACAGGGAAGAGGTGAAAACCAATACAGGTGTGCTAATGAGCAGGCCACTGCTGCGGGCAGTGGGCTCAGTCCTGTTGAGAGACACTGCAGAATCTGTCTGCTGTTGTCCCATTAGAATGTGTAATCTGTGGCCTTTGTCCAGTAACTCCCACTTCTGGCCTTCCCTGGCTGCTGGACTAGCCTATTCTTGGGGCCGCACACAGTAGAATAGTCTTGTCTATAGAAGCAGTGATGTTAAGAGGACATGGCAGAACACAGAAGTGTCTGTTATGTTCACTTAGAGAAAGAAGCACAGAGCGTTATGGATGTTGGAAGGGAAGCTCCCAGCTTAAACTAGTTGTGTGTCTTCTTTGAAGAGCTGACAGTTGATCACTACCCCTTGACGGGGTACCTTCTTCTTGAGCTGTTCAGTGATGCATGAGCAGAAATTCCCTGATGCCTGGCCACACAGAGAACTGCAAGTTCTGGTTGGGTGTAATAAGCCATCTTCTGATTGTCCTACCACAGGGCCAGGAGGTCAAGAGCAGGACAGCTAACAGATCCTCACAGAGTGGTCCTCTCTGAGGTGGAGAATAGAGGGAGTGAGCTTACATTTGCTTTTCATAAAGAGACCCAAGGACTTTGCTGCTTTTTCTCACAACTCACTCCAGGTTGGGTCTGCTTGTGAACTCTTTATGCTTCCTCAGAGCTCTCCTTCCAGTCACCTCACAGCAGCCCCGCCCGCACCTCCACCCCCCACGCCCGCTGCCCTCACTCCTCCTTCACGGTACCACCTCCCAGCTAGAATAAGGATGTGGCAATCAGGCTGCCCAGAATTACTCCCCCTGCCTTCAGTTCGCCCTGAGCAGAGTTCAGATTGCACATTTCCCGACACTCAGAGAGACCCATTAATATTTAGCATGTTACATTTCCAAAGCACTTTGCTAACATGAATTGATCTTTTCGGCACCCCCTTGCGAGGCAGCTCAGTACTGCTAGCTCTACTGAGGACATAAGACTTCAGGAAGATAAGCTACTTAGGCTGGGGCCAGGGCTGGTGAGTGATGGACCAAGATTAGCACCAAAGGTCGATGACACCAGTTGTCTGTGTCTCCAGACAGAACTCTACAGTGGCCACGACACACCCTTCCTCACCAGGCTGTCCTGGAACAAATCCAGCCCTCAGAAGGTTTAAATAGAATGGATTTGTCATCTTTAAGATTGAACTGCTTACAAAACCAGCTATCATTTATGGACCCAGGCACTTTACATAGATTGTGTCATTTAATTCTCTCGACCCTTGTCCATCTTCTGTAAGATCAGAAGTTTGTGTATCAGAGAACCGAGGCACAGAAAGATTAAGCAACCAACGTAGTTTCCCAGCCAGTAATTAGCAGAGCTAGGTTTAAACCCAGGCTAGATAGCTTCCGAGGTCTTAACTATTTTGAGCCAGATTAGATGTAGGTAGATGAACAAGGTCAAGTGGAATTGCTCTTTGTGAAGTTCTGCCCGCTCCTGGACAATTCATCATACGCTTTGCACAATTATTTCTGCAGGTAAAAGAATGAGAGAGTGTGTTTGTGAAGACTGAGTGTGTAAACTAAAGTGGTTGGGTACTTGGTTTCCTCTGCTTTCCATTCCAAAGTCTCACTCAAAGTGCATAGAGAGAGGACTAGTTTATGCAATATTAAATAAACAAGCGGGGGGGGGGGGGCTGTGTGCCACGCACTGTGTTTAATGACAACACTCACTCTGGTTGACAGAGCACAAGGGCTGTGGGAGCTCTTTGTAGGGACAAGGGAGGGAGGCAGGAGTGGCCCGTAGGCTCAGAGAGGTTGCAGAAGTTTTGTGGAGGTGACCCGAGTTACGTGCTGATGTAGGTCAAGGGAAGAAAGGTCAGCGTGTGCAAGGAGAGTGGAGGTGTGAAGTAGCAGGCAGGTTTGGAGGCCAGGAGGTTCTAGCCCCTTGCTTTCTTGCATTCAGGGGTCAATTTGTGGCCCCAAAGTCCTGGATGAGAGAGTGGGTCAAAAATTCTAGGATGCCATTGAAAATGTAATTGTTTGTGACAAGAACGGTCAAGTTTTCACCTTGGTGTTTTGTTGATTAAAACAGATAATTGATCTAACAGATGTTTGACAAGTCTCTATTATATACAAGGTACCGACCCCAGGAGCCCTTGATGGGAACCACACCTTTCAGAGTGCTGAGGCCATTGAGCTGGCCTGGAGCTGAAAGCATTGTATCCTGGTAAGAAACTGAAGAAGAGTCACTCTGTCTCTCTTTCTCTCCTAGGGGGAAAATTATCAGTGTTGTAATTTAATTCTTTTACATTTTTAATGTTTTTAATTGAAATAGAATTATATCAATTCCCCTTTCTCTTTCCTCTCTCCAGCCCCTCCCAGTGACCCTCCCTCAGACCTCTCCCATGCCCCAAGTTAATAGCTTCTTTTTCTATTGGTTACATACACATATGCACGTATGTATGCATATACACAAATATATATATATAAATACAACCCTCTGAGTCTGTTTTTGTTGTTTGTGTGCATGTGATTTCAAGGCTGACCACTCTGCATTGGACAACCAATAAGGGAATTCATTCCTGGGAGAGGCTAATTCCGCCCTCAGCAGTCACTAGTTGCCTGTAGTTCTTTGTCTAGGGGTGGGGTCCTGGGAAAATTTCCCATTCCGCGTTAACATGTCCATTGATACTGCTGTTGTTTTGGCTTGCTCAAGCAGACATTTCTAGGAAAGACTGTTTTATGGCAAATTTCCTGGTATTCCAGCTCCTACAACTTTCCCACCTCCTCTTCTGCAACGCTCCCTGAGTCATAGATAGATGCAGGAGCTGTGATGCAGATACATCTGCTGGGGCTGGGATCCTCACGATCCACTGATCTCTGTTTTCTCTCTGGTTGAGTGGGTTTTAAGTTAGACAGCTGTTGGCGACCACCACCATATGAGTGCCAGTTCTTGTGTCTTCATGCACATCTTGCCATGCTGGGATGTGTGGTTCGTAGGTGCTGCAACGGGGTAAGACTGCGTTATGTCCAGCTGTGGTCTTCTGTGGTGGTCTCCGTTAGTTGCAAAGGGAAGCTTCTGTGATGAGGGAGGGTAGCCACACTGATTTCTAGGTATAAGATTTAGAATGTAGTCGAGAATGATGATGGTCTAGGAAAGTGGCAATAGTAGATTCTTTTCTAAGGTCTTTAACCTCACTAGCCCCTGGGAAGCTGGTTAGGTTTCCAGTACAAGGCATGGTTCCCCGCCTATGAAGTGGGCCTTAAGTCCAACCAGACAGCTGTTGGTTGCCACCAACACGTGAGTTTCTGTTCCTGTGTCTTTATGCATAGCTTGCCATGCTGGTAATTGTCATGGCTCACAGTTGCTGCAGCTGGGTGGGAATGTTCAATTCCTTCCCTCCCTGGGCAGCTTGCTTAGTGTCTTCTGGAACCGTGGAAGCTAGACCTCAGGGAGGAGGCTTCCAGGTCAGACCCAGCTCAAGTAATCCAAGTTCTGTGTCCTAAGTGTGTGGTTTCTTCAGCAACAGAGGCCCACGCTCAGTCCCTGAGAGTCAAGGACTACATAATCTATATTGTTTGGGGAGTCACGTGTGTGTGTGTGTGTGTGTGTGTGTGTGTGTGTGTGTGTGTGTGTGTGTACATGTTATACAGCACCTGTGTGAAGATCAGAGGACAACTTGTGGGAATTGGCTCTTTGCTTCTATCCATCACGTGGGGCTCAGGGATCAAAATGCAGTTGTCATGCTTGGTAGCAAGTACCTCCCCCAACACTGAGCCATCTCATTGGCCCTGGTATAATTTAAAGCCCTGTTTGTTCCCTATTAGAATCTGTCCCTTCTGAGCAAAACTTTATGTAATGTGTATCTCCCTTTTCCATATTAGTTCTTTATAGTTTAATAATTTTCTGGCTATTGTATAACTTGATATTCATGATTAGCCAGTGTGGCACGTGGTCTTGGTGGGTCTCCACCTTGCAGTTGAGTTTTAGTGACTCATCTAAGGTACTCTTCCAGGACCCTGGTCTCAAACTTGTTCCCTATTTGCCTTCCAGCTCCTGCTGGTGCTCGCACAGATATAGCTATGTGCCAGATGCCCCTGACAGCACCGTGGAGTGAGAAGTACAGCTTGGTGCACATGGTGATTAGGTCTTGATGGTATCAAATACAGGGCATCGATGAGGCAAAATGTGCAGACTGGTTATCGGTTACAGCTCTCAGGGACCAAGCCCTTCTCAGATGATCCAGGCAGGGTGAATGCGGACACAAAGTCACTGAGCTCATCCCTCCGTGTGGGATGTGCGGTATAGCACAGGTTTAACCACACACACCTCAAGAAGTGGATATGGGGATATATGTGATGACAAGTGACCAATACGTCAGGGGCTGTGACCTCACAGTCCTGAGGCTGAACAAGGCAGAAGCTGCTCCCGTGATTTCTTTAGGGTGGCTTCAGTTAGAGCTGGAGAGTCCTCTGGGCTTCACTTAAGTTTTAGGGTCTGGAGTCATCATCATTATCAAAGCGAATTGAATGAGAGCTATCTGCAGGTGTCCTGCCCTCCTAGTGTCCTATAAACTCACCATGTGATGGCTTATACCATGTTGTTTTTTTTTTTTTTTTTTTGGTTTTTCGATACAGGGTTTCTCTGTGTAGCTTTGCGCCTTTCCCGGGACTCACTTGGTAGCCCAGGCTGGCCTCGAACTCACAGAGATCCACCTGGCTCTGCCTCCCGAGTGCTGGGATTAAAGGCGTGCGCCACCATCGCCCGGCCCATGTTGTTTTAATAGCAGTACTTACTAGTCGGGAGGGAAAGGGTCAACATCCAAAGGCCCAGTGACATTTGGATCCTCTGTGTTTGTAAGCGGATATCCACAAGAGGAAAGATTTCTTATGTCAGGAGGCACCGGTCAGAGCCTACACTTCCAGGAGGAAGGCTTATTTAGTCTCTCTATCCTGATAACATTTTCTCTTCCATCTTCTGTACCATATGGGTAATTATGGCATTATATCCGGAGTATTCTGTGAAACATTCCCCAGCAGGATTAGAACTCGTCTCCTACACAACCTATGTCTGCCCATTACCTCGAAGGCACATCATCTCATCAGGACTGCTTTGAAGCTAGGCTGGAGCTAACAGTCTCCTAACGAAGTCCCCCAACATCTGCTAGCTATCTCAGGACTCCAAAGGGTCACATCGTTGACACAGGGGACCTGGCACTAGGATCCATAGAGTAATGAGGTCGAGGTGCTAGTGTAGCAATTGAGAGCTCAGACTCTGGAGCCAAATGGCTTTAGTTCAAATCTCATGCTTATTAGCTCCATGGCCTCAGGCATATTGTGAAATTTCTCCTTGCCTCAGTTTCCTCTAACAGGAAATGATAGTACATATATAATCAGACCTATATAATAAAATGCATGGGGACCGACTTGGGTCGGTGTGTAAAGGGCTTGGTGTGTAAGGTGTGTAAGGTGTGTAAAGGGCACAGACCCAGCACACACTAAGCACTTGTTAAGCGCTAAATGCTACTATTTATTAAAGGAGGGATTTTCTGCATTCAGGATGATTCTTTTTCTTCCTTATGTCCTTGGAACCTCCACTCTGTGACCTTCTCCCTAATTTACATTTATGGAGCCAGCTGTTCCAACAGCCTCTCTTTCTTCTGGTTGGGGATGGGGAGGAAAAGCACCTTGCATATGAGCTCTTATTATTTTTTGGTATTGCTTACAGTGTCATCTTAAACCAATATGCCACAGCTCATTTTCATTCAGCGCTAAGGGCCCTTTAAACCAGCCATTCCCCATTTACTCTGTTTTAAAAAAGGAAGGTCTTCGGGTTTCATGTTCCTTTATTGTATTTTGTAAGGTACAGAACACATATTGGATACTATGTAAATGTGGAATACTCTAACAATAGTAACAGACAGATGAGAAACTCAAGGAAGTGGAGTCACCATTTTGAATTTAGCTTTTATCGATGGGCTGAGTGATTTGGAAGAGACAATGTGGCTCCAAGGCTAAAGAGCCCACAGGGATTTCGATGGCAAAGGTCTGACTCTCAGTCACAGCGGCAGCTCCGGTGACCCAAGGCAAGCAGCTTCCTTCCCCTGGACCTCAAATCCTCCCCTGAATACTGGGCTTGATGCCACATCGCTGCCTCACAGGGATGCTTGGTTGAGCCTGGCCATATGCGGCTGTGCAGATTGTGCACTGCCGAAGGGTACCAACTGAGGGGGCACCGGGGGCATAGGATGTGGTCCACACTCGGCTATCAGTCTGTACCCTGGGAGTGGGTTGTGTCCATCCAGAGGAAGAGGGTGCTTTGCCCGCCCTTCTATTTTACACAGCAATGTTAATATGGGTGAGTGGAGACCCTGAATTGAGCGTCTTGACAGGAATGGGACTTAGAGTTCAGCAAACAGAGCGTACAAATTCAACACAGCCACCGAATGCTTGCTCCGTGCCAGGCCCAATTCTAGGGCTGAAGATATGCAGATGGATGTAGGCGATTAATACCTGTGGTTCAACCTACCCTTCCTTCTCCAGCCCTTCCTCCACTACATTCAATTGACTAACAAGTCCTGTCAAATGCTCCAGTTTTCTCCGTCCCGCCGCCAGCACTTGGCTTCGCTGTGATACAAGGACTCCCACCTGACTCCTGTCCTTCAAACAAAAGCAAGAGTGTTTGTATTAAAATGTGAACCAGAGAATATTACCCCATTTCAACCCTTCAGTGGCTATAATTTAATTTAGGGTTCTCACAATGGCTCACATTCTGTGCCCTGAAGCAAAACTAACCATCTTGTCCTTTAACTAGCCCAGCTCTTCAGTTAGTTTAACCCTTTTGGGCTGGAACACTGTTCGGCTCTCCCCTTTAGCCACCTCTTTCTCATCCTTCAGCCCTAAGTCGACAGTCAGCTCTTCAAAGGAGCCTCCCTGGGCCACCTTGTTCAAGTTACCAAGATATTCTATTATACTTTGAAATAGAGTATACTTTGAAAATAGAGAATTCCACACCTTCTGACCTATCTGATAGATGGTTGAATGCCAAACCAGTGAGGACCTTGCTTATTAATTCTTCCCCGAGTGCCTTGCTATAAGTCTCTGATACACAGTACTAAATATCAATAATACTTGTTAGACCAAGTTGGTAAATGGAATTCATCCAGGAGAGAAGTATTGTGACTACATAATGTGGGGACAAGTACTATGACAAAGGCTGTGGTGTGCTAGGTGGGGTGGGGTGGGGTGGCAGATGGGGAACACAGGTTTTATCATTAGTTGATTTCTGTGATGCAACCACTACCTTTTTGCCAGTGGTTTTAGTAACTCACTACGGGGTATCAGATACTCAACAAAGCCTTGGCGGAGGAAGCAATACTTGATTTGTGTTTGGCAGAATCTGTGGTTTGCTGGCTCAGTCCCACATCCGCCAAACTAGTTAACGTAGCTCTGCTTCCCAGTAGCCCACATTCAACTGTCCCCGATTCCCTTACCCATCCTATCTCTGCTTACCTGGGCATTAAAACATGACTCCATCCAGGCCTCAAACAGTCTGACCTTCCCCGGATCTGACTTTCTACTTAGACTGAAGGACACTGATTCCCAACTATCTTAGTTAGGGTTTCTATTGTTGTGATGAAAAACCATGACCAAAAAGCAAGCTGGGGAGGAAAGGGTTTATTTAGCTTACTCTCCCACATCATAGGCTTTCATTGGAGGAAGAACAGGAACCCAGAGGCAGAAGCTGATGCAGATGTTGTGGAGGGAAGCTGCTTACTGGCTTGCTCAGCCTCCTTTCTTATAGAACCCAGCCACCAGCCCAGGCATGGCACCACCCACCATGGGCTGGGCCCTCCTCCATTGATCACTAATTGAGAAAATGCCTTACAGCTGGATCTCATGGAGGCATTTCCTCAACTGAGGCTCCATTCTCTCTGATGACTCCAGCTGTGTCAAGCTGACACAGAAAACTAGCCAGTACACCAACGTAGGCTGTGGCAGTCGTAGAGAAAGGAGGAAAGGACAGGTTACTTTTCTTCCACCGTTCCTATCACAGCTGATGATTGTGTTTTGTTGCTGTTGCTGCTTTTGCTTTCTGACATGGGACTATTTCATTAGTCTCTGTCTCTTGGGGACTATAAACTCCATAGGGCTAGGGACTGCTCTGTTCATTATTTTCAGCCCCCGGAATTGGTACACTATAAACGATAAAATATAATAATTTTGTTGAATGATCAGATCACTCGGGAGGAACTTTTAAGGAAGGCTCACACCTACATACCCTATAATGAAATTTGGTATGTCTTTTCTCTCTGGACCCCCTAAGGGATGGGAATGAGGGGAGTGGATTGAGGACTCCTATATTGTAAAAGCTACCTACCCAAGGTGTTCATCTTCATCCCTTCTCTCAAACTCAATTAAACTGTGTCTTTACAGGATTTTAACACAAACATGACTTGATTAAATTTGTTATTTACATAAATTGGCCTTTGGCAGTAGGGAGGACCCCACAGTGGTACTGAGATCAGTAAGGAGGACAGTAATCAGCTAGGAAGCAAAGCAGGTGGGAATGAAATAACAGACAGTGGACATAAAAGAGAACAGACTCAAGTGCTAGAGTTAGAGAAGCTACAGCGTTTGGTTACATTCGGACATGGATGGAAGAGGCAATGGAGACAGATGGGAATCCAGGTCAAAGGGAAGAGTGAACGTCAGTGAACAGAGCGGAGAGACAGTATGTACTTTTCAAATATCTCTTATCTTTCTCCTCCCTCCCTCCCTCCCTTCTTTCTTTCTCTCTTTCTTTTTTATTCTTTCTTTCCTTTTTATGGTGTTGAATACTGAACCCAGAGCACCTCACTTGTTAGGCAACCACTGGGCTATACCATTAGTCCACCAAAGCTTTCAAGCCATTTTTGACAAGCCTGCAAGACAGAGATGAGACAAGGCTATCTAGAAGTTGGGAGTACAATAAGCTAAGGCAAAAAGGGGCTGAGCTGGACTACCCCTCCCCCCATTCTTAGAATTGCAGAGAACCATATTTAAAAGGAGAGTTCGGAAAAAAAGGAGCATAGGAATAGACTGAGTCGAACGATTTGGAATGAGGAAGGCAATCCTGGATAGTGTCATAGAAAATAAATGATAATGTCCAACAGCATCAAATGAGTAATGCTCAAGTTAGCCTGAAAATACCTCTTGTGGGTTTGGCGACAAGGACACTGGCTGCAACAAGGACATTTTCCGCGTGGGTAGAAGCTGCCGTGTAGAACACAGCACATACAAGGAAGGAAGTGGAGACACTAAGCGTAGATTACGCTCGAAGAAACTCGCCTGTGGACGGGGAAAGAGACACGGTATGATTGAGTAGGACGTGAGGAGATTTGAGCGCTGAGGGTAGAGATGGAGGATGGACGATATAGGAGATAAAGGGGCGTCAACCCCCTCCCGCCCTCTTCATTTGCCAGCTCCGCCCCTACGTGACGCGACCGGGCCTCGCGAAGACTACAACTCCCAGGAGGCCCCGCGGCGCGGGCGGAGCCAAGGCCTGGCGCGCACCCCAGCGGCGAGCGGAAGAGCTGGAGCTTCATGGTGGCGGCGGAAGCGGAGAGCGACGGCGTCCTGGTAACCACGAACCCCTGTCCCCGATTCTTTCTCACCCTGAGCTGGGGCTGGTTGCCCCCTCTTCTCCCCTCCCGCCCGGGACAAGGCCCACTGTTTGTTTGTTTTCTCACGTGACTTTGCGGGGCAGGCCCCCGCCTGGGACGGGGGTTATGGGGAAGCTCTCGCCCTTCGACCCCTAAGGCCCCCGGACGGGGCGGCCTTTCTCGGGTTCCTTCTGTCTTCTCAGGGGTCGGAGGCCCTGCAGGCTGCCTTGAGCCTCAGCCCCAATGCTTCTCGTAGGGATCTTCTCCCTCCAGTGTGTCAACAGGTAGCGGGGTCTGTGGGGACCCCCTTTGGGCTGCGGGGCTGTGGGTCACCGAGGTCGCTCCGGCATGACGTCTGGGTCGCGGGCGCCCGGGCACTGCTGGGTGGCCGCAGGTCTGCTCCGCTGCCCGGAGGGAGCCCCGGGCTATGGGCTGGCAGTGAGCAGTTTATAGAGTAGAGTGTACTTCCTGCTCTTCATGGGCGGTCCTCGGAAAGCTTCCAAATCTCTCGATCGAAAGTTTCCTCCAAACTTTTTTCGCCGAGTCTGAGTTGTGAGAGAAGGAGCACAGGGTTTGAACCCTGAGAGGATGATGGGTCAGCCGCTTGCTGGACTTGTGATCTTTTTTTTTTTTTTTTTTTTTTTTTTAAATTTAATTTTATTTTTTGTTTTTCGAAGCAAGGTTTCTCTTTTGTAGTTCCTGCTGTCCAGGAACTCACTCTGTAGACCAGGCTGGCCTTGAACTCACAGAGATCCTCCTGCCTCTGCCTCCCGAGTGCTGGGATTAAAGGCGTGCGTGCGCTACCAACGCCCAGCGGGACTTGTGATCTTTTGTTGTCTTATTACCACCACCTCGGTTTCCCTGTCTGAAAAAAGGGGACAGCCTTTTTGGTACTTTGCCTTTCCATGTTACGGGTTTCAGCAGAAGTGATGTACGTATGAAAAGTTTGGACTATAAAGCGTGTTTAAAATAAAGCTTTTGTATTCTCCCTTGTGCGGTACAGGCCGGTTGCATTTTAAAATGGTGTTCATGTCTTTATGAAGACAGTAGTTAATAAATGGTCTCCTTGGAAACGGATGAAACTTACAAATGTTATGCTAGGTTTCTGCTGGAGAGGTGACATTAGGGCCCTACCACCTGTGGAGACAATTTATCAGAGTGTGGACTGTTCTCCACACCCAGCTACTAGCTGCCCCTCTTGCTCTGGAATTTCTCTTGTAAGCACTATACATAACAAACATCTCCTAAGACTTAGAGCTCCCCAAGCTCAGTGCTGAACTTCTTCCCAGTGTCTACTCCTTGTGCGTTTCCCCCTCCTTTTCAGGTCCTACTCATGCAGTAATCGCTGTAGCTATTTGGTGTGTACTTGCTAGGAGTCTTTCCTCGAAGGATTCAGAATATAAATAGCTACTATTGCAGTCTGTTTTCTGACTCTAAAGATTTGAGATTCTGAATGGTTGCTTAGTGTTGTGTCTGTGAGTCCCCTGTCCCCCTTGTAGAGAAGTTTGGGAGTTTGCAAACAAATTTTAAAAGGATTTGGGATATAGTAATTTTTAAATTTGTTTGAAATTGTTGATTGGAAAAAATTTTAAATATAGTTTAGAAAAAAACAAGGATAGAAGGAAAGTGTATTAGGTCAGGGTATAAAGTTGAACAAATTCAAATCCTTGTGTTGAGACTTATGTTGGACAACTTAATTGACTTCTCTGAGCCCATTTATTAATTTCTAAGATGGAATTTACAGCATTTACCTCATAAAATGTTTGTTAAGATTATGTAAGTTGTGACTTTAAAGGGATTAGTGATGGTAAGGGTATATAAATTAATTTTGTGGCTGTTACTGATAAATGATGACAAGGTGATTGTTAATTTTAGGTATTTGACTAGATGCCATTTGTTTGTTTGTAAAACAGGGATAGTTATCTGTACTCTTCAGACTTTAAAAACTATGGGCTGGAGAGATGGCTCAGAGGTTAAGAACACTGGCTGTTCTTCCAGAGGTCCTGAGTTCAATTCCCAGCACCCATATGGTGGCTCACAACCATCTGTAATGAGATCTGGCTCCCTCTTCTGACTTGCAGGGATACATGCAAACAGAACACTGTATACATAATAAATAAATAAATAAATAAATAAATAAATAAATAAATAAATAAATAAATAAATCCTTGCCAGGCAGTGGTGGTGCACCCAGCACTAGGGAGGCAGAGGCAGGCGGATCTCTGTAAGTTCGAGGCCAGCCTGGACTACAGAGTGAGTTCCAGGATAGGCTCCAAAGCTACACAGAGAAACCCTGACTTGAAAAAAACAAAACTATTGTAGAACTGGCTGTGGTGTCAACACACCTATAATCTCATCATTTGGGAGACCAAGACAGGAGAATCAAAAATTTGATGTCAATCTGGCCATTTTTAGTGAGATTCTTTCTCAGACACCACCACTACCAAAAAACTGTAAATAGAAGTTCTTGGCCAGGCGATGGTAGCACTTGCCTTTAATCCCAGCACTCAGGAGGCAGAGACTGGTGGATCTCTGAGTTCCAGGCCAGTCTGATCTACAAAGTGAGTTCCAGTACAGCCAGAGCTGTTACACAGAGAAACCTTATCTAGAAAAACCAAACCAACCAACAAACCAAACCAAAAAAAGTTCTCAAAATTACAGATTTTTTTCATAACAATTTCTTTTTTAATAAACATTACAAGGGTTGAGGTGTATAGGCTCTGGGTTCTCTCCCTAAGACTAGCAATAACAACAGCCACTACCAACAAAAGCCTTTAATCCCAGCACAAGAGTCAGAGGCAGACTGATCTCTGAGTTTTTTGTTAGCCAGTCTATGTAGTGAGTGAGTTCCAGACCAGAAAGGGTGATACAGCGAGTGCCTGTCTTTAAAAATATATATATAGCTTTTTTTCACTATTAGGGTTTCCTATAGTACCATTGTGAAATGGTTGTTAGTATGTGCTTTAGTCAAAATTTTTCTAGAGATTTCAATTTTTTTTGTACCTTGTTAGTTGAAATTGGACTGGTGCTTTATTTATGACCTGTACTAAGTGTATTTCATTGTGCAGTGTAGCTTATAGTAGGACAGTTATTATGACTCAGATTATTGACAAGAATAGAATTTTATAGAGCAATTTTTGTGTCTGTTTACATGACCCCGCCACCCCTACCCCGGGCACATATGTATACACGTACACTTTTTAAGCTAGGCTGTTGTAAGATTTTAGCCTGAGTTGGACATGGTGGTGTATGCCTTTAATTCTAGTACTTGGGAGTCAGAGGCAGGAGGATCTCTGTGAATTCAAGGTTAGCCTGGTCTTCATATCAGTTCCAGGTCAGCCAGAGCTACCTGGTAAGACTGAAACAAAAACAAAACAAAAATTTAGCCCAAAGGAGTATGGGAAACTTGATGACCCTCATTTTTTAAAGGTGGAAACTTAATGACTACCTCTGTCGATGTCCTGTCTGTGTGTGTATCTGTAAGGAATAAGTTTAGAGAAACCAAGGAGGACAGCCTTATGGACTTAAATGATTTGTTGATCAGGGCAAAATCTTAGACAGGGTTTCTCTGTGTAATAGCCCTAGCTGTCTTAGAACTCACTATGTAGACCAGACTGGCCTTGAACTCACAGAGAGTCACATGTCTGCCTCCTGAGTGCTGTGATCAAAGGCGAGGATCACCATGTCAGGGCAAAATCTTATGGGTTAAGAATTGAAATATTCTGGGCGGTGAGGTGCATGCCTTTAATCCCAGCACTAGAGGCTGGCGTGGTAGACAAAGCAAGTTCCAAGACAGCCATGGCTACACAGAGAAATCCTGGCTTTAAAAGACAAAACAAAGAATTGAAATACTAATTTTTATTTTCTTCAGGTGTCTCATTGACTGCAGATATTCACACATTTGGATGCTAAGAAAATACTTCCTGTGCCGGGCGGTGGTGGCGCACGCCTTTAATCCCAGCACTCGGGAGGCAGAGCCAAGTGGATCTCTGTGAGTTTGAGGCC